ATCCCTTTGTTTGTCCTGAGTCTGCCTTTTCTCTCTAAATGCCATAGCTTACAGCCTGTTACTAACCCAGCTGGATTTACTTGTGAAGCAGCCTGTCATACACAAGACTTCTGTATGTCACAGAATTGCTCCTCAGTAGCACTTCTGAATCTCTCAGAAGTTATCTATCTGAACCTCTCACTGMAGCATTCTTATGTGCTTTAGAAATTAAGATGCATTATCACCCCTTTCTAACAGAAATCCRGAGTCCAGAAAATCAGAATCCAACTGAAAAAGCAAGTGGAAAAAATCAGTAACTTCAGCATTTCAGGAAGGGGAAAGGGTAGTCTGGATTGAGATTGCCTCCCTACTTTAGGCATCTGACTCGGTCATTGCAATCCTGATTCAGACCTTTTGGAAGACACACCTCATAGACACATCCCAATAGGTTGGCATGATGCAGCTGCCTCTTCACCTGAGACTCCTAAAACAGGAAAAGTGGGAAAGAGCTCATGAAATAGAGTGATTTCTGTAAAAAGGGGCAGGGGGGTTCCACTGTACCATGGTGGGGTGCTATTTTTCATACAAAGAATGGTCTAGCAAAGGCCAGTGACAAAATCCTAAACATGTCTTGGTTTGAGACAATGTTTTCAGAGAAAAAACRTTACAGAGTAAACGTTTCGTCTGAAGTGAAAAATTTGATAATTTTTTCCCACCAATATGAAATAGATGTTCGCGAAAAAGTGAAGAGAAAAAAAAAAGTAGTTTATTAACAAAACACAGTGCCCACAGGACAGATAAAAAAGTAACTGTTGGATATTTGAAAGTCCAGGAACGCATGCCACCCCTYCCCCCACAGCCACTCAGCCAGTGGTGCGGAGAAAGATGGCRCAGCCCCTGTCCCCGKGAAAAGAAGCAACAGTGTMAAAAAAGAAGCCTCTCAGGCAACAGTGGCAAAACCTGGAGCAGTCCWCTCCTCACWGTGGATGAAACAGAGGGCTCWRTGTGCTTTTCTGTCACCGGCTTGGCTTCTSCTAGAGTCCRGGATGAGCRGTGTGGCTTGTTCCTGCCAGCRTCCGGCTGGTCGGCACTTGCCTCCTGGTTCTCGGACCACAGCCCTGCCAATCCTCTCTAGAAAAATCACAGGAGTTGCAGAAAGGAATAGCAGTCCAGGGAGAGCTGTTTGCCCAAGCTAACAAACAYGAGCTAGCTAAATGGCAACAATGTAACTCCCCTGCACGCAGCAAACTRAGCTCAAAAAGCCCACRGCAGYATGGCAGCCCRGCTTTTAACTGCCCGCACTGCCTTCCCAGCYGCCCCTSCCCCTTTTTACGGTCACATTTAAAGGCAGAGGCACCTTTTGGGCTTACAAGCTGATGGAATATAKGAATACAGGATTGGCACAAAATCAACCCAAGACAACAGATCAACTGGAACAAGAACAGAATACTGCTTTGGACCAGTTTTTCTGCTCTTTTTTTTCTTTCTTCTTCTTTTCTGTCATCCAGAAAAGAGAATAAAATTCCCAGTCCAATGTAGAACTGGAAGGTTGGCTAACTAAGTTTGGATGAGGTGCTTTGGACTTTGCTACTCTTTGATGTTCTTTTTGCTCAGAAGAAACCAAAACCCAGAGAGCTCTTAGAAGAACACCATGTGTCTGATTCTGCATTTAAGTAGAAAAATGGAACCTCCCAAAAAATCTTGCCTTTCTGGAAATGAAGTTTAGACTCTGAGAAAGATTAGTGAGAGACACATTCAGTATAAGTCATACTCATTTGGGTAACAGGCAAGTTTCTGCCTGTGCTCACTTCTAGTATTCATTATGAATGTCTATTAGTGACTTCCTAAGCAGTAATTCCAGCTGAGCAGTAAGTGTTGTCTTCTGCTTTAATAATTTTCGTGTTCTTTTAGCATTGTTTATATGCCATCATCAGCATGCTAATACATTAACTGGGTACCCAGTACTTGGCTATTTTATTATCCATTGCTTTAGTTATCTGTCCAGACTCCCGATCCTAAAAGGATTAAGCTAATTTTTAGATGATTTTGCTGTTGAAGCACAGTGGTTTTGAATTGTTTTGTTTGTTTGTTTTTATGATGTCTTTAAATGTTTTCCAGTAAAGAGAAGGGCCTGTTTGTACTAAATTTATGGCTGCTTGCTTAAAATAGCTTTCTTGTGGTTTTTTTTCTTCTGTCGATTTTTCAGAGTTCTCTTAAAACATGCAAGTCCAGAAAGCGCTTCTGCAGTATGCAGGGTGCTTCAGTTACACTTCATGTTTAACATGACACAGATCATTCAGATCATTCAGCATTTTGCTAAAATGAGGCAAATGGAATGGAAAATGCTTTGGTATTAAAAGTAGTGTGTCTTTCAAGAAATGCTTAATCCTAAACAGATCATTCAAATCAAGTGTAATAAAGACTACTGCAGCTAATGAAAAGATTTTTCAGCTCAGTGGGCTCTCAAACAGGCAGAGATAATATCCTTGCCCTTGCTAACAGTGTTCACTTAGCCGTGTTTCCTTTCCTAGACTGGAAATTAGATTTCCTTCTCCATTGTTTGTATAGGAAAACTCAATCTGCTCAAGAAGATCATATGGGAGCCACTGTTTTTAGAAGAAAGACCTGCATTTGAATAAAAAATACCTCTGGACTTCATGTTCAGCCACTTGGCAGTCGCCACAATAAGCATCCTTACCATATTTTTGAGGTGATGCCCTCCAACAGGCTGTTTGTGTTCGCTGTACACGCCTTGTGCTGCAATGAGGGACTATACAAGAGCCTGCTTCAATCAACAGCAAGCARCCAGCTCACATGTGTGTGCACATGTATTCCCACTGGTGAGCATGTGCATTAAGCCACCCAAGTTTATACACCTAAGGTTGGAAATGTTTATCTTTTTATTTTCTCTATGCTTCATTCCCAGCTTATTCAAAATCCTGTCCCCAGACTTAACATACTTTGTTCTTACCTTGCCTACCATGAAGGCTTTGGACCTGAATTGGGCAGGCTCCCAACACCTTCAGCTGTCTCTGGACCATACTTCATTTGGTACATCTTTGTATGGAGGGCATTTTCAAAGATGTGTGACTGTTGATTTCCAAGGCCATTTCATAAGGACCAAGACTCAAGAATTAAGCAAAAGCACAAGAGCGAATTGATCAGAGACACAGTCACCCAGTTATCAGGGATGAGGATAAAATTTAGGGATCTGACTTTTTACTTGCACAGCTTAATTTGGTGTCTTTGTTTTGTTTTGTCTCTTGCTCTTTCTCCTCCTTACTTCTCCACCTTTAGAATTAAAAGGCCAAAATAATACACTCCAAATTTACTTTCTTATTCTGAAACTGGCAGTGAATCCTGTAGGTTCTTCTTAAGGAAAACCTTTTTCTAAAGGTGCCACACACAGAGGGTTTCTCTCCAGGACTATGGGATAGGGAGAAAAAAACTCTATTACTCCTTTTGCTATGTAACCTTTCCTTAAAATGCCAGCAACCAAGCTTCCAAAAAGAGAACAACAAATAYTGAAAGAGGAATGTGAAGGACAGTACGAAACAAGAAAGTAAGAAAAGGGATCTGCTCAGACAAGTTTCTCAGGAAAGGTGATGTAATATGTACTGTAGAAAATCCTAGCAGTTGACATAACTGAGTTTTTTTCTAAACAGCTGTGGATGCCAGCAAGCTTGGAGAAACAAAGTGTACAGTTGGGAATACGGCTGAGCAGACTGTTTTGTCCAAAAGAAATATAGTAGGTGTAAAACTTGTTTTCATAAGATGACATTGAAGTTTAATTGAAAAGTGTCCTTTTAATTAAGGCTGAGTGACCACTGAATGAAAGTCTTATTTCTTTTGAGGCTGTTCTTGGTGATACTGTAAGATTAACTCCTGCAGACTAGAGTACTTGAGTCTGCTGTTGGGATGCTGTGGTACAGTTTAGCCAGTTCTGTGGCAAGTGCTCAGTCCCATTCATAGACTTTTGCCAATGTTTATCAAGCTTTTTACCAGCTATCTTGAGAATTGCCCAAGTTATATTGACTGTCTTGCTCATATTTCAGCCTGGTTTTCTACATAAATGATTGTTTTCCAAACATGTTCTGTGCCTGTCCACATCTGTATTTATAAAGTTTGGGAACCTCCCTCCCTGTTATAACGGACCTGGCAGAGACACACAGGGTCTTTGAGATAATGAAAATACTAGAATTTTGTGTCAGCACGTGGCTGGATACTGGAGAACATCTGGATCTTCTCTGCAGGGGAAAGGCTGCAGGGAACTATGCTCTTTGTCAGCCTTGGAGACTCCAAAAGGCCCAGATCTGGAGGATATCAGGTGTTCTTATTCCATTTCTCACACAGCTTACAAATTAAAAGGTCTTGGTTGCAGACTGAAATGTTTCATCTTAAAAATCACTGGTTCCTCTACTTTGTTCCTCCTGGTACTTAGAGAGAAAAATACTGCATGTGCAGAGACTGATAGACACCAAGTGCCATTAGAAGTGCCATTTTCATGTAGATTAGTTCATAAAAGTTGGATAAACTGCCAAACAAGAAGCCTCAGTTCATGAACTATTGTGGATTTATTTATCATTACAAACAGAGGAAGAACTGTATATAGTATAGGAGTAATGTCTATTATATAAATTATATTTAGTTACAGGCCTGGCATACACAGTCAGTTACCTCCTTTTTACAAATACTATTAGCACTGTTCAGGCAGCCGGCAGGCATGGTTTCATGCAGAAGAGTGTGTGATTATTTTCATAAAGTTTTTATGAATAAGCCTGGAGAAGGCTGCAGAATATCCTTAATATCTTTGATGACGCTACTGTCATGTCAAAATATCACGTACCAACTTCTCTCTTTACTATAAATTAGTTATAAGGAAAACYAAGGGAGTAGGACTGACAGTGCTAGATGTCTTGGAATGGGAGGTTGAATGACCATGTTGAATCCTTAGGAATGTCTGAATATTCCCCCGTCTCTGATACATACCCACTCCTGTACCCTTTTCTCTTTTATTTCAGGTGGAGTCTGGATAAGAGCTGTCAGGAGAGCTTTTTAGCCATTTTGAGGCTGAGTGATAGCAATCTCGAACCACAGTTTTAGAGGAGTGGCACCAAAAAGCCTGTTGTTAATGCTGAGTGCTTTACAGGACAAGGAACACTCCCTGCTTCCTCAGCTGCCTGACAATCAARCCATAGATACTGACCTTCAGTCCAAATACGGTAAGTCAAGCCTGCATCCATAGCATGACTGAGTTTAAAATATAATTGTCAACCTACAATTGTTTGGAATGAAGCCAGGGGGAAAATCTCTAGAGCACAGTGCAGTGTAGAGGACACTAATATTGCCAGATCTCTCCCCGTTGTAATAAAACTACATTAAATGATGTCTTGTTAGTACACCCTAGTGCTGTACTGAAGTTGGGCTGCATTTCAAGAGCTTCCTAAGTTATAACAGTGCTGAGGCTGGAAAACTGCAGTAGATCCACTGGAAAAGCCCTGCCCGCTGCCAAAACCAGTCATGCTTCTTGGCCATGACAAAGGTTCAAGATTTCTTTGTGCAGCTTCAGTTTATCTTCTAAAATGCAAGAATCAACTAAGCTGACTGGTTACTWAAGAGAGTAAGTGGCAGTCTACCTTTTTTTTTTTTTCCTTGGGTAAAAAAAAACCTAAGGATCAGCTTTGTTACTGTTCAAAGTACCGACTCACTATTCCTAAAGACRCAGTCTCCAGAAAGGTTACAGTATACCTAGAGAGACCTTTCAAAAGTAACCTTTCAAAAAAAATCCCAACCTCTTTCCTTCATCTGGGATACAGTATCCCTAAAGTATCTCCTAAAGTTACTGTATCCCTAAAGATAAAGCAACCATTCAAATGCCTCAATTTGGGTTTTCCTTTAATTTGCTGGGCTCCGTTTAACAGAAAGTTTCCTCCAGCTAAGACTTGAGGGCAGCAGTGATGGGGTAGAGAGCTGGCTGCTGTCATTTGGCCCAGAAATGAAATCCAGGCTCCGATTAGCCTTTAGGCCAACAGTTGATAAAACTTTCATGTCACGCTTGCATATGAAACTCTTTTCCATTCCCACATAACCTGCATACATATTCTTGTTTCCCTATAAAAGTTCATTTGTGGCTTGAAAAGCTCATGTCAGATACAAAGCTATTGGAATTTCTCATGATTTCTTATGTTTTTTCTTTTGACATTTGAGCACAGCTGCTAAAAGTCTGAGAATAGCTGCTGCTCCTGATTGAATTTCTTCACCTCTCCATTCCTCAAACAGATGATATTTGAAGTTTTAAAYTGTATGGCAAGTGTGCACATTAAACATCGGTCTGAGAGAAATGGGAAGCAACATTATGGGACTGCAGCTTTGGGCGCTGCAAACAACCCAGGTCTCCATATTAAAAATCAATCACTCTTTTGGTTTAAAGTGTGAACAGTGCCTCAAAAAGCTACATGAGATCCATTTCTGGGAATGAGTGTATGCCTGCCTAGTTTACTTCCTATGAGGTTATTAACACTTGCTGTATCTGTAACTGCTGGTTATTGAAGGAAGGGCTTAACTCCCTACCAGAGCCCCAGGACTAATCAAAACATAGCTATTAATTTTTAATGACAAAGTTGTTGCTTGCACCAGTAAACTGGTGTTAGTCCCCTAAAGCACAAATGGCACATACTCTATCACAGTTAACAAGCAGATTTTGGGAAAAAAAAMCACAGAGGAGTGTGGCTTGTTGCGTCAGTCCAAAATAACTGGCTGATTTCTTCTTACTTTCCCCACCAGTACTGGGTATTATGTRTGCTAACTAGTATTCATTCTCAGCGAGGTATCTGGACTTAGTAGGACCAGTTCTTTCTTCCAGTAAGACCWTTGCATCTTAAAACAGCCCAGACAAAACATGCCCAGGGGAAAATCCCATGCTTATAGGAGCTTCCAAGTCTTTTCAACCATTTGCTTTCCTAGCTGCTTGTCTTGGGTGGAAGAGAATGGCTTGTTAAAAAGGAATGGCCAACATAAAAGGAAAAAACCAAATAAGACACTTAAGGGTGTGTCTAATGGATTTACATATCCAGGACAGCAAAGGAAGTATTGCTCCTCATCTGTGCCAGACTCGGGCAGAGGAGCCAAACTGGTAAACTCTAGCTCTGTCAGATAATTCTGCCATTTTGGAGATGGGACTGGGTTTACACTGAAGAGGCTTCACATGAGGGGAGTAGAATTTTGGATGCTGTGGGTCCTCATTTCTAAATTTGTAAAGAGTAGGAAAACCACCACATACAGTTTCACAATGCATGAGAGAACAGTAAGAGCAGTGATCAGTGCATTTTATTGCAAATGCTTCATTTAACAAAGGTTAAATAGCATCTGAACAYTGTCACTTTGAGATACATTCATAATCTGACTTTGCCTCTGCTTATAGTGGTATAAATCAAGAATTATTATGCTGAAGTCAACAAAGTCATTACCTGGTTTTAACTCAAATGAGAGAAAATCTTGCTTTTTATTTCTACAACAAATCCCATTCAATTCAGTAKGAATACAACAGTATATTTAAGCAARTGCAAGARCAGAAACAATTGGAAAATCCATGGTCTAAATTCAGTACAGGGTTCTGAAACTGAATTTCCATCTGAGCAGTCTTGAATATTGCAGCACTAAGTCTCCTTTTCCTGCAGTGTAATCTAGTTTATTTTCCCCAGAAAATATATTTTCCTTTTCATGAACAGAGGCCTCATGAAACACGTGGCTGTCTTCTGAGCAAAAATCTCAAAGTCCGTAGCTTATGCATATTAAAGCCAACAATGCACAAACTTCTGTTTTGAATCTAAATGAAGGTTTTTAGTCTATCAGCATTTTTATTCCATGCCAATCTTTTGCATAGGGAAAAATGTGCACCCTTAGGAGAATAATAACTGTGATAAGTTGTTAAAAACCAAATTATCTAGGAAGAKAATTTTTCTCATTATGAAAATGGCTTGTCAGATATTAGTGAAATGAATTGGCCACTTAGCACACCTTTCACAACCTCAGAAGAATTAGATTATGGCCTATATATTCCCACGTGTTACAGGAGCAGTTCTCCTCTTTATCTATACAGCAGTATCACTCCACAGTTTTTGATTATGTTTTATTCATATGGAAGCATAAATCAGTCATAAATCAGTCCAAAGCCTAAAACTAACCAAACCAGTTCATATTTCTCACATGAGCTGTTCTATTTGCATGCCTTTCCAGTTAAAAATTTCTTGTTCTGATATAAAAAAGATTCTAGGTATGTAGTGTTCAGTCGAACAAGGTGACAGCATGACATTTAGAAGATGTATGCATGAGGAAGAAAGAAAAATGGGAAAACAGCAGGGAAAGAAAGGAACATTTGCTTTTGACCATCTCAGTAGAAGAAAGTGAATTGAGTAATACCTACCTAATTAATCCTTTGATTTATCCCTCYGCTTTCTGGAACTATTCAGAGTAGAGGAGGTGCAAGCAGGATCTCATCAGTGTAAGTAAATACATGAAGGGAGAGTGTGAAGAAGACAGAGGCCAGGCTGTATCCCACAGTGCCCAGGGATGGGACCAGAGGTGATGGGCACAAACTGAAACACAGGAGACKCASTCTGAACATCAGGAAACATRTTTTCATTGTGGGGTTGACAAAGAGCTGGCACAGGTTGCCCAGGGAGGTTGTGGAGTCTCGATCCTTGAAGATACTCGAAAGCTGTCTGGACATAATCCTAGACAACCATCTGTAGGCAACCACATTTGTGCAGGGATACTGGACAAAGTGACCTCCAGAGATCCCTTCTGACCTCAGCCCTTCGTGGTACTGTGATGCTGCTCTGGTCTCTTGTCAGTGAGAAAGGGTGGCAGCTCATTTTCTTAGCTGGCTTTCTTCAGTCAGGAGCAGCAAATTTCAGAAAAGCAAACGGTGCTCTAGCAGCCAGGAGCTCTGGAAGAGATCCCAATAAACATGTAGAATTTGCAGTGGGAAGGAGCGGTATCCTTGTAGGGTCAGGACAGGCAACTTTACAGTTGGCAAGTAAGTAGAAACAAAGCAGGAGACCAAGAATTACGTATTACTTCCACTTCAATCACTCTGAGAAACATTCTCATCATTCTTGTTTCAGAAGGGAAACTGTGATGTAACTAATAAATATACATCAAGTGTCATCTGATGACTACASCTTTGTGTCAGTAGCTTTGGGAGCACAGGAGGAATGCTGAGAACTACTGYGAAAGGACTTGTCATGTGCAAAAACAAAGCAGAAAAATCTGGGTGCCCTAATTTGATGACGTTTTATTTTGGTGCAGACAACTGAAACCTTGGTGGTTTCTGGGACTATAATCATGTTTTCTGGACACATTTAYAATATCATTCTCCTGCACCGGATGAAGATAGGGATATCAATAGATGATTAGGTCCAGGAGTTTTACAGTGCCAGTTGCTGGTGCTGCAACACTTACCTTTGGCCCTAGGCAAAGACTGGGGCTGCACTGTGTTCACACTGGAAGAAACATAGTAAAGAGGGTCACATATCTCCTCCATCTCCTGGGAATAGTTTTCTTGAATGCCAGCTCTTCTACATCTTAAAAAATTACCTGAACTGAACTTAATGCAGTGCAAGGCAGCAGAAGAAGTTAGAAGGCAAGTTCAATGCCAGGTTCAACATTACCTTTGCTTAGCAAGACAAAGTAACAATTTMTTTTTCTTCCTTAAGTGAATTTTACAAAAGGACAACACAGAGGAGGCTGAAGCTTTCAAAAACACGAACTTTGTATTGCTGAGTTCAAGCAAAAATGCAGCACTTACATATCTGGCACATTAAGGTAACCCTGACAAGCAACACATGAAAGTGCAAATGCAGCTTCAATGTACAAGTAGTGAGTTTCTGTCTGTCATACTGAAAATACAAYATCTTGCCAACTTACAAAGAAAGCACTTTTTCGTACTGTGCGGTAGACAACCCTGTCTCAAATAACAGTGCCTTCATCTTTTGCTGGTACTGTTGGAAGTGGAGAAAGWGTTCTTTTCACATCTTTCTCTAGACTATTTCTGCTTCTAAGAATACAAGTGCCTGCTGAAAATGCTTTAGCCTGTATGCTAAARTGCCTGGGTTTCTGTAATGGGGACCACAGAGAAGCACTGCTGGGGTTAATATATTGTTTTTCCCAGGCATATACAAGTGTATTGCAGAAGGCACTATGCAAATATTGTTCACAGAGT